TCACTCACCTCGGCCTCCCAAAGTGCTGGGATTACAGGCTGAGCCACAGAGCCCAGCCTTTTTTTTTTTTTAAGTAGAGATGAGGGTCTCACTATATTGCCCAGGGTGGTCTATATTTCTATATACTAGCAACAAACAATTGGAAAGTGAGTTTTTAAAATATACCATTACCAATAGCATTTTTTTTTTAGATTAGAAAATGTATTTTACTTAGAAAGTAAATTTGAGAAAGAGAGAAAAAGGAGATTTACCTCCCCAAGGTAGGGGAGGGGGCCAAAGCCAGGAATCATGACTTGGCCAAAGTTCAAAGATCACATGGCCACACCATACTTTAGCAAGGTCTCCATCAGCATCTTAAAAAATGAAATACTGGTCGGGCTTGGTGGCTCAGCCTGTAATCCCAGCACTTTGGAAGGGCAAGGCGAGTGGATTGCCTGAGCCTGCGGGTTCGAGACCAGCCCGGGCAACTTGGAGAAAACTCGTCTCTACAGTAAATGAAATAAATTAGCTGGGCATGGTAGCGCACACCTGTAGTTCAGGCTACTTGGAAGGTTGAGGTGGAAGGATCGCCGGAGCCCAGCAGGTCAATGCTGGGGTGGCCGTGAGCCTGTGTGCCATTGCACTTCAACCTGGGTAACAGAGTGAGACTCCAACTTAAAAAAAAAAAAGAAAAAGAAAAAATAAATAAAATTTTTAAGAATAAATTAAACAAAAAATACATAAGATCTCTAAATAATATTGGAAGACTTTATTTTAATATAACTGTTCCCAAACTAATCTACAAATATAATTTAGTCCTTATCAAAATCAAAGCAAGAAATTTTATGAAAATCTAGAAATATAAAATAAACAAAGTAATACAAAAGACCTACAGTAATCAAAATAATATTGAAAAAGAAGAACCAGCTTGGATAATCTATACTATCCAACCTCAAGATGGACTAAGGTTATAATAACAAAGAAAGAGTAATTTTAATGAAAGGGTAAATCACTGGAATGGAATAGAGAATCCATGAGGCGTTCTAAACATTACAGTCATATAATTTTAGACACAGGCATCAAAGCAATTCAATGAGACAAGTAAGGCACTTTTAAGAACAACTAAATGACCATATGGAAAAGAAAAAATCCTGCCAAACCAGTGGCAGTTACTTAGGAGACTAAGGTGGGAGGGTTGCTAGAACCCAGGACTTTGAAACCAACCTAGGAAATATAGCAAGATCCTATTCTGACAGAAATCAGAATAGTAGTTACTGATTTATGTAGGGAGATAGAATTGACTGGGAAGCAACATGAGGGAACTTTCTTAGGTGATGGAACTATTCCCTGTTGTGATGTAGGTATATAGTTGTCACAACTGATGAAACTATATTTAAGATTCTTGAATTCACAGATTATAAATTGTCAATTTTTAAATAATAACAATCTCTCTGTATAATTAGTATGTTTATCCAGAAGTATCTTAAATCAAAAAATGTTTATGATAGAAAAAAAATAAAAACCACCCTCAGGTGGGAATCTCGGGCAGCCAGGGATAGCATAGGTGTGCTTAAAAAAAAAAAAAAAAAAAGGAAAGGCTGGGAGTAGGGTGGAGTGGCAGAAAGAAGACTGGGAAATACCACAATTTCAACAAAGTGCTAATCAAAAGTAATGTGCTAGAAAAAGCTATATCTGAAACAGCAAAAACAATCAGTACTGGTTCATGAAGGTTAGCAATGATAGTAGCCAGGCGTGGTGGCTCACGCCTGTAATCCTAGCACTTTGGGAAATGAAGGCGAGAAGACTACCTGAACCCAGGGGTGCGAGAACAGCCTGGGCAACTTGACGAGACCTCATCTCTACAATAAATTAAAAAAATCAGCAGGGTATGGTGGTATGGGATATAGTTCCAGCTACTTGGAAGGCTGAGGTAGAAGTATTGCCTGAGTCCCACAATGAGCCCATGCCACTGTACTACAGCTTGGGAGACTAAGTGAGACTCTAACTCAAAAAACAAAGAGAAAAAAAAGAAATGGCAGTAAATAATCTTATGTTAAAACCAAACAGAACAACCTGAAAACCAGAGAAACTCTTCAAATGTTC